ATGATGGTGTTGATGGTGATGATTATGATGGTGGTGGTGAAGATGATGGTGGTGGTGATGATGGTGGTGATGATGATGGTGACGATGGTGGCCATGGTGGTGGTGTTGATGGCAACAACACTGCTTTTCTGACCTCTAGGTCATCTTCAACACTTTGTCTCTGGGCTGCTATAGTGTGGAGAGGAAAGTAGCTCCCCGGTCCCTGGTAGAGTCTGTCTTCTAATTCTGGCTTCCTTGAGGGGGTGAGGGCCCAGGGGAGTGTCAGGCAGGCTTGGCTGCTGCTAGTGAGGGAAGCAGAGAGGGAGTAGCTGTGGGTTCTGCCTTCCCATTTGCAGTTTGACCCTTGTGTCAGCCTGGAGTTGTCTAATGCAAAAGATCAAGGCTTGGGGCTGGGGCGGCCTAGATCCTGGAGGAGGGGAGAGAAACCTCCTCTGGCTTTGAGCTCCTCAGTTCCTGCCTGCCAGGAGACCAAGGAGTGAATCTGAGCCCGTTTTCCTATTTCTAAGATAAGTTCCCCCTCCCTACATCTTGACAGAGGCCTCTTCAAATCTCTTTCCACCCCTTCCTATCCTTCCCATCCCTTTGGTTTCAAACAAAATCTTTCTGTGAAGCAACATTTGGGTGAAGACGTAATGGAAATGCTGCAGGCAGGCCAGCTCTGCTTGAGAGGAGGATGTGGAACACAGAGGTCAAGCGTGCCTGAGTGTGGCCCTCGTTCTGGCTTGCCATGTCTCTGGCAGAGCCCGGCTGATGTCAGCTCCTCTGTGCCCCCACTGAGGGCCTCTGCCGGCCCTGCCATACTGGTCGCTCATGTTCAGAAGGTCAGCCCATGTGACTTTGGAGTCCAGGCCCCTCCATGTTCTGAGGGTGAACAGTGCTCAGTGATGCCTGCACTCTGCAGTGTCCCCGGCCACGGTGCTCAACTCCACTGGCCCTAAATCTCAGCTGTCACTCTGGATGATGGTGCAGGTTTTTGCAGAGCAGGACTGAGGAGCAGGTTCCATGAGAGATCCTGGCCATGATTATGGGGTAACCCCGAAGCCATGTCTTATGATGGGAACCAGACACAGAGAGTCTGTAGCAGGGTGAGGTGGACCTCAGGTAGGGTTGCAGAACACTCACAGGGGAAAAAACCTTTGTGCTCCTACCATCCA